CAATGGCATTGATAAAAAAACTATTTCATTGTAATTGTGTGAAAGAAGAAGTACAATATAAAATCATTTCATGGATGTATAAAGCATATAAGCATAAGCATAGTTTAATAATTAGATATCAATGTCAGTTTATTCCGAGAAATCGTTATGTAACATTTTAGAAAATTAAATTTGTGAATAATTTGATGAATTTTCCCTTCCTGAAATCTCAACATTATCATGTCTTCCTTTAATGTGGTTTATCATAAGTAATAACAATTTATCATTGTTGGGAGTTATGGAAACTTTCATGGAATAACTTTTGGAAGAATTTGCTAATTAAATAAAGGAGAAAAAAAGAAAAATACTTATCCAGGTTGAAAATGAATATATGGAAATAATAGTCAGAAGGTATATGTAAAATATATCGTTTGAAAGCGGAGAATTAAAAAAAACAACAACAATGTATAATATAAAAAGTTTTAGAAGGTAACGGAAAGTGACGAAAAAAATATAAATAATAATTTCTAAAAACTAAGATTATTTAACATAAATCAGATGTTTTCAAGGATATTAAATGAAATTTTCTTACTAAATGTAAACTTTTAAAATTTTTTGTAAGTTTAAAAAAACATTTTAAACCCACTGATTCAAGGCAATGACATTGTTTAAGATACTATTTCATTGTACTTGTGTGAAAGAAGAAGTGAAATATAAAAATATTTAATGGATACGTTTATAACCTTAAATACATTTACTGTAGTTTAATAACTCTAGATCTGATATTATATTTAAATAATTAGGTATCTATCATAGGTTTATTCTGAAAAATCATTATGTAACCTTTATAGAAAATTAAATTAGTGAATAATTTGATGAATTTTCTCTTTGCGATATTCCAACAATATCCACTTACAATTAGAGTGACAACTTTTGAGCTGTCTATGACAGACAATGGAAATCTCTTAATTCCGTTTTAGTAAACTTTGCTATGGAAAATAACAGTTTAATAACTAATATTCATACAATCCACAATCAACGGATCGTACAATCCATTATCAACCGGTGATATAATAAATAGGACTTATGTTATTTTAGTAGTATATTTATGACCTATTAGCTGTAATCTTTTAGCTTTAGTTCACTTAAAAATGCAATTCAAAAATTTTATAATAGCCCAACATGGTCAGAAAATAACTTCTATTCAAAGTTGAGCAGTAAGTGAAAGTTGTGTGTTGCGCGCACCAGATTTGTTATTTTCGAAAATTAAACATTTAGTAGTTTATTTCTATCGCTTTTATTTTATTTTCATAAACTGAGAGGAGGTAAAAGTTGATGCTTTACATATAAAGCTATAATTTTCTCTATTATAAAATAAAGTGAGGGGGGAGGTGGAGGATTCTAATATTAATGTAGTTTATCATCAGTAATTTAGTTTCTTTATTACTATAAACAGCATAATAATTATCCATATTATACCAACTATGCAATTTCTGGTTAAGAAATGCTCTTTTAAGGAACACCGCGGGTCAAACGACTTACTTGCCAGCCAGATTCTTGATCCAGATGTGTATATCACAAATAGTAAATAGTATAGGTATGGTTTTCTTTAAAAAAAAAAAATACTGTTTTAAGTACATTTTGTTTGAATTTCATTCATTACTCTTGTTTTAAATCAATATAATGACCACTGCCATTATTGACAGTCAAAGGTGGATGAATATAGCGATCGTGGTCGTTTATATATATTAAAGTTTGCCCATTCAAGGTCAAGCATGCCCCATAAACGATATCCACACAGACACACCCTGTATATGTGTATCTTATATATATCTTTTTATTCTTTTCCTAACATTGAATCCATAAGGACCATTTGTTCAATTCAACCTTCATGCTTCATGCTTAAAGGCATACAACATGAAATTACAAGAGTTTAAAACATCAAGTTAAAAATAGTAATAACATTGTTCAAAAAGTAGAGAAATTGGTTTAACTTATGTAATACTGATAAATTTGGTTTTATTATCTTTTTTAAGTTTACAATTAAAAAAAAAAAAAATACTGCTAAACTCCAGATATAATATAATTTATATGATCATGATTGATTTTAAGCAATACTTTTGCCCAGCAGTTTTATCTATTTTATGTTGTTTTTTTATTTGAACAAATAAAATACTAAATCTCAGAAGCAGAGTATTTGGCAAAACAAAAATATAATAAAATAGAACAGGCAAATAAACTAATTATTAAAGACTAAAACAATAAGATTACCATCAAGATTGGTAAGTATCATTTATTATAGTGAAAATGTCAAGTTAGTCATAAAATAATTAATAATATATTTTTTTAATAATTGAAAGATCATTCCATATATTATTACACTGATCATTCCATATATACAAAAAAAAAAATTGCATAAACATAAATTTAAAAAATATATAACAAAAGATGGTAACATTAACTATAAAATAAATGTATAATACATCTGAGCATTAAGTTAAAATTAAATATATTTTTTATTTTCAATTGAGTTTATATAACTACATAGAAAAGTCTGAGGAAGATTATCAACCAAATAAAAGATTTAGAAATTTAAAGAGACTAAAATAGAAATTACAAATAAGTTATTTTACACACACATACACAAAACATTCATAAAATTTACATTCATAATGTAACAGGGCAGACCTATACAATATTCTTTTCAATAGTTTACTCATACAAAATTAGATATGTATTAACTATAACAGTGTTAAGTGTATCGGACACTACTATAATTGACTCACAAAGGATTTTCTACATACCTTTACTTAATGAAGTACTGAACGGATATTTTTCATTCAGTTGTACAGAAAGAATCATTTACAGTTGCTACAAACCAACTAGATTACGGTCAAGAATAGTAACCTTGAGGATTTGATTTTGATCATCTCCAATAGCGAAATAGATTAAAATAAAAAATAACTTATCAACCATGACTTGTCAGTCGCTCATGTTTGAGTGTTGACCACTAAGAAAGGACAAAATCGCCTGAGCTTTAACATCCTGTAACAGTAAGTAATAAATTAATATATAATAAAAATAGATCTACTAAAAAAGAAAATTCATTTTAAAGCATTCTATTACTTCCTAGATTAACAAAGATAACCCTAATAAATCAACATAAATCTTTAATTCGTATGATGATAAACCTAGGTTGCCAGTAATCCTTTGTTCTCCAGGACAGTCACTTAGTCCATTGTCCCTTTTTCTGCCAACCCTCATCACTGTACACGATTTGGCCCATATTTTAGGAATTTTTCTAGGTTTGATCTGAGAAATATTTTTTACAATACTAGTTACGTGTTATTGAGTAAACTTAAGATTTTTTTGATAGCAGAGAAAATGACACAGGAATCATTGGTAACATTGCATTCCATGCAACCACCACCTCACGAAGAAGACAATTTCAATAGCTGTAACATTTCACAGCAATTTCAATGATAAGGACTTACAATATAGCATCTGTGAAAAGTTCTTAATTGTTTGTGCTACAAAGCTTTAAAATTACACACATTCATTTATAATATTTATGCTCTATCCTTGTTCTAGCCTCTCATATTCCTTTACTTTCTCACTTTTTTTTTTTAACTCTATAAGCTAATACAGACAAATAAATACATGCAAATTTTCATGATCTTTATTTACAATAAAATTTAGTATATTTTCATATTTAGTATATATTGCCTCCATCAGAAAGTCAACACAATGATTAGTTCACTGATATTTCATTTTATGAATGAATGTGATACAATCAATTAGATGGAATGCCATCTATCTTGCAATGGCAAACCTGAAGGTTGGATGCCAATATCACCTATTACAACCTACATTCCTCCTTTCACATAATTCTTATAATCCCACAATCTTATATGAATGAGGTCCAACAAAAAAATTAATAAACCACTCAATCTTTCAATTGTTTCAGAATATGATTCTTATGAGACTGAGCTGTTTTGCCTCCTACAATTATTTTTCATTTCACTTATATAGTAATGAACAAAGAAGATATTTTACAAGATATGAAAACCACCGATATATTATTTTCGGATGTAATATAGTTAATTAAAATGTAGGTACTTTTTGTCTAAGCGGCCGTTTTGAAACCTCACTTCTTATCTATCTTATCTAATGTCATGTCATCATGTCACATAACCTCCCTCTTCTTAACCCAGCAAACTTTTGAGTTATTGCATTGTTTAGTTTTCAGTTATTCCCTTATTACGTTCACTTATTAAATTGTTTACTTTTGGCCCGTTTGTGTTTATTTAAAATTTTTTTTTAGTTTGTGACCTCTTGGTGTTTATTTTTCATTTTTTTTTTTTCGTTTATTTTCGTCATATTATGGATCTTCTTAGAATATGGGATTTACCGTCTTCAGAAGAACAGGCAATTCAAATATTTTCAAAATGTAGGGGTACTTGCTGGCTTATCATTGGTGGATGTTTGGTGGAGTTTGCCGAGAAACAGATGAATGTTTTACCGTCAAAATAATTGACAGAAAGGCAACAACATTATTACAAGCCATTAAAGAAAATATAGAAGAGGGAACGACCATTTATTCGGACTGTTGGAAAGGATACAACACCCGACAACTGAACGAAGCAAACTATGACAATTTCCAAGTGAATCACTGCTATAATTTTGTCGATCCATCAACTGGGGTTCATACTCAACACATAGAACGATTGTGGGGCTCAGATAAGTGGAGAAATAAAGTACATAGAGGAACTGCCAGACAACACCTCGATTCATATTTGTGCAAATTTTTGTGGCGGCGGGTTCACAGAGAAGAGGACCCGTTCCTCGCTATTTTAAGTAGCATAAAACAATTTTGCCTTCCAAATTAAATAAGACAAAAGGAAGTGAATAATTAACTTAAAATACTTTTAAATTTGTTTTTTTAAATTTCATTTTGATGTTTTATATGTACATATCTTCTTAAAGTGTTTTTTTATTATTTCATTAATATATTTGTCGTCAAATAAAAGTATTTTTGTTGTTATTACATTTGTTTTTGTATCTGTTTACACTTTCAATAATACGAATTTAATACAATAATACGAAGATGTGAAGTAGGAGAAGGCTTATCACTGCATTATGGGAGCTATCAGTGTTCAGGTTATAAACATTGGCAGATAGCAGTCAGTAGCGGCCGCTTAGACAAAAAGTACCAAAATGTATATAAGTTTATATTTGGGCAATACTATGATTCAAGAATTTTTGAGAGCGATGTCTCCAACAGAAGAATATCTGTATAACTAAAGCAAATTACAATGGAAATAGAATATAATTTAATAAAACAATGGCTTACTAGATCGTCAGACTGAGTGAGTATTTAATGTCGAACGGTGGGATAAGCTTCCACTATAGCAAGGAAGCCTACAAATTTGACTCATGATAATTTTGTGTATCGACATGCTTCCTTTTGCAGCTTGCAATTGCTCAATTGTTGTTTCATCATTCAAAATGGCTTCTATTTGATCATACAGAATAGCCAAGACAAATATTCCAAAAAGGCTGCTTTCCATCACTAGAATTATGCAATGAACACTAAAACAAAAATAAATAAATGAATAAATAAAAGTATGTGGTGGTCACTGTTTAACTTTGAGTCCCAGTAAGTGCTAAGCGATCAGTAACTATGTATAGTATAAACACACCATATTCATTAAAGATAGAACAATGCTAGTAGCCTTCTAATAGTGTTATAATCTGCAGACCTGGTTGAAATTATCACATTTCGTATCAGACACCAAAATTGTAAGGCATAATTATGTAACATAAGTATTGTATCTAAACTAAAAATACGATACAACCGAGAAAATTGTTATGATTTGATTACCTCTTGTCATATCCAATTTTTGAAAGGGTTTATATACACCAGGAGTCCACAAGTGCCCCTTTTGACATGACAGGTGCCGACAACCATCAAGGCACTTAATACAGTACAGTTAAGCATTTTAACAATACTTTTGAGTCAAACTACATCTTTTTTTATTCTCTATTTTAGTTGTACTGAAAACTGAATGAGAGTCTCAATATAGTATTATCTATATGAGCCTTTCAGTTGATAGAATGGCTATCTCTAATTTCAACAAAAATTAATGATAAAAAATGTTGAAATTGGAGTTAGTCATTCTGTCAACTGAAAGGCTCATATATGTGCATCTATATCTTATTTTATTATATCAAATTAATTGTTTCACTGAATCTTAAAATGAGAGGATCAAGTATAAAATTATGAATCCAAGATATGGCCAATGAAATAGAAATTGACACCACTCCAACAATGTAAAACTAAGAAAAAAACAAAAAACATGGTACCCATTGCTAGACTCTAATAATATTCTAAAAATTTATCGGTAGGTAGATAAAATAAGAAGCTTTTTATACACACTATGTAATGTTATAAACTATCAGATATTTAATGCAGAGATACTTTGAAATAAATGCAGACAAATAATTTTTATAATAATTATAAATAATTTTTAGTTAAAGTCTAATCACAACAATCACTAAATAATTAGGCTATTTAAACTGCATTATTAGAAAAGGGAAGATTGAAGTGTAGCAAAATGAATGGTTCAATAGGGGGAACAATAAACTACGAATGGTACTAAATGTTATATTAAATGTTACTTAAAAGAGAAATTTCAAGCTGATGCTCAAATCATCTACAGACATGTCATGAAAAAACGAAGAATCACCACCATGTCCCAACCGTAAAAGTGATTTAACTTACTAACTGAGAGTATAGTTCATGAGCTACATAGATATTCCATAGATCTAGTGCCTATCCAAAGGAGACTCAAGAACCAATTGCAAGTCTTTTATCAAGAATTAAAAATAAGAAGATATTGAGAACTAAAAAAAATTATAGAAAAATCAAGTAATCAACATAAAACTACAGTGTAAATGACCCTTGTGGTCGAAACACTAAAAAATAAATAAACAAACCTTATTTAATTATCATGCTTTTGATCAATATAAGAAAATCGAGATTTCAATGTAAGTTTCAATTAGAGTAATAAATTACAGTTGTCTTTATGAATTATAATAATAAGACACTGGAACTTAATAACAACCTTTACTATTATTTATAAGTTATAATAAACAAAAATACAATTAATAGATTACTTACATTCTGGACTGTCGAACAGTTATTTCAGAACTGCAAGTTGGACATGCTTTAACCCATGATGTGATAACTAATATTATTGCATAAAATGATAAAATTCCAACGCAGACTAAAAACTGTATAAAGTATTTCTGGTTTCTTTCACCAACACAATTATTGATCCTGTAAAACAATAGAGTAATAGCTAGATTAACCCTTAGTTGATTGGATTAATCAAAGAGGATGTTCATCTGAGGTTAAATCAATATTTCAATAAGCTTTCAAACATATACCTGTCTGCTGATTCTCCAATATGGAGGATGAAACCTCCCATCACATAATATGTAGATATAATTTTTTAGCTAGAATGTGATACTTCCATTTTGAATGCAATTGAATTATTAATCCTAAGCTCTCCAAACTGATTGATCTATACACCATAGTAAAACTGCATTAAGACTGATCTGGGATTGATTTTTAAATGTATGGCTGATCTGGTATAGCATTTAAATAAGATTTTCAAAATACCTACATCTTCTATTACCCCTCACCTGTTAATCTGAAGCAAATGGCCAAGATCAAACGTATTTTTTGCTCAGTAAATTTATAATTTTCATTTTTAAAAGCGTGGTAATGACAATATCATCTTGGTAATAACAGCTAGCTGAAATTTAAATTTTTTTTATGATCTATTATGCACTAAGATGCTCTACAAATAGCCATTCAAACACAAATGTTTTTATTTAAAAATTTTAGAAAAATAAGATAGAAATAAAAAATTAACAATATTTTATAAATAAAAAAAAAAAAAGAAATTGCAAGTAGCAACAGCTTCTTTAATTTCTAAGTTAAGATTCTTATAAAAATAATGGTACAAAAATAGAACATATTCTTTGTAGCATCGGCATTTTTTTTATTTTGAAAGACTGGATTAAGATTCTTACTTTATAAAAAAAAATTGTATTTTTTTTTTTTATTGACTAGATTAAGAGTCTTAGTTATAACCAAATAAGTATTTCATTGGCGTCAGTAGTTCTTTTTATTATAAACTGTTCTGTCACCGCAAAGTGCTATTACTGAGGTGGTTTGACTATAGTCAACCTATAGGTTAAATGGTTTTTTTCCAGTCAAAGACTTTTGAAGCAAGTGGCATGGCTGTTTCCAACTCCTGAAAAATGTTGACGTACTCCACGGGGGTAATGATTGTGTCCTTTTTCGATATATGATGATATACTTTTCGATATATATTAATAGCGTTTGCACGTTTTCTTTAAATTTTTTTTGTTGGGGTTATTAATTGTATCATTTAAAAGACATTTTTGTAATTTTCTACGTTTTTATATATTAAAGTTTTTTTTTCCTGGTCACACGTGACTCTGATGAATGTAGATGTTCTCTTTTGTATGGCCAAAGATTTATTAGCTAATACTCTTTCGTACTTCCAAGTTAGTATGATTGGTTTTTGATTTGACTTCAACAATTTATATTAAAAAACTTGCCACTTTTCATAAGTAATCTATATTTTCTTATTATATCTCTACTGAGAGCTTTAATAAAAATTTGTTTGTTTATTTTTTTTTGTTGCAGTTTTTGTAACTTGTTCCAATACCATACTTTATATCTGGGATTGTTTAACTGGAACTACAAGTTTTTGTTTAAATCGTATTGGTCTCTTCCGGTATTTTTCTTTTTGCCGTTTAAGTTTCGTTATTAAGATTCCTGTTTTTGCTAATCTTCGGTATGCTTTTGTTCTGTTTCTTTTCACTTTCTTCCTTCCACTTGATTTTCTACTAAAATTTGGACCCAGGGAGCAATAATTGGGGAAGGGATTGGGAAGTATTTTCCCTTCCCCTTTACACTTCAAATACCGCAATTTTTATTTATGTCTATCCTCTTCTTATAAATTATGGTCGTTTTTTCTCTTTTGCCTTCTTAATCTATGGGACGCATTTTTCTTTTCTTTTTTTCAGCTGCAGTTACATTTTGATTTGGGATGAGCCATAGTTGTTCGTTTAGGAGAGCAATCAACAAATTTCAGGTTGGTTTTCAAAAGTGTTTCATTACCGCATAATTTGTCATTACTGCGCTAATAATTTGGGGCGTGGGAATGACAAGAGTTTTCAACTTGGTGATATCATTTTCATGTATTCTATTCGGCCAAAACCGTGGTGTAATTAACATTAAAATTTTTTACCAACTGTCTTACAACAAACAGTAGTCAAAAATTAATTATAATAATGAAATAATTTGAAAAGGTAGCGAGATAGTATATGCGAGATGGTAATGAAAACAATAAAGGTACGTGCTCATCGTACAAGAAACACATTCGTAGGAGGCTCCCTAATTGGTAGGTCTATCAGCTGGTGGCTGTCCTTTTATCTTCATAGCTACCACAATACTCTAAAGAAATCTTCATACCGTTCCCTCTTTTCAACGCTCAGATTTCCGATGTTATGTTTTTAGCTTGATAATGACATCAAAGTGAGAGTACATACATAAACATACTTCACTGTTAACAAAAGTTTAAAAAAATATATAATTCTAAATACCTTAGTTATTTTTTGAGTGGAAATAAATTTCACTGTCATTTTACATAGGTTTCGAAAGAAAAAAAAATAAACATTTTCTAGAAAACTGAGAGTGGGATTACAGGGTAATGACATTTTAGTAACTTAAATAATTATAAAATCACATTATTCTATATTTTAATTTTTAATAGATAGATAGATAGAAAATAAACTTTATTCTGGGATAAGGTCCCTTATGAATAACAGATATGAACAAAAAATAAAAACTACATCTCGCCAAAAATTACATTAGTCAATGTTAAAGAACATATAGCATCTTCAGTAAAATTATATTAAAACAAGTAAAAATAACACCATTTTGAAAAGAAAAAAAAAACAAAAAAAAAAAACATTATTTAAATGAAAAGAGAACAAAATAAAATAAACATGGGTTGATTTTTTAAATTAAAAACTCTATCAAATTTTACAACCATTCACTTCAGTCAAAATCTGTTTCGCAATATTTATTTTATTGTATAACGTCATTTTGGGATGTGAGAAGGAATTGGTAAAGATGATATTTAAATGAGGACAAGGAAGAGGCATGGCGGATTTCAGATGGAATTGAGGAATTCCAGAAGGCAGTGGATCGGGCAATAAAGGAATATTCAAACGTCTTAGTTCTATGGGAAGGGATATAAAGGTCGGAAACACGGGATCTTGTTTTCTGGGAGTACACCACGGGTTTAAACTGTAGGAGATTGTAGATGTAGGAAGGGTGTCGGGTGTTGATCGTTTGGAATAGGAAAGATCCAAGGAAATATTGTCTGCGGAAAGAAGGGAAGAGCCACTTTAACTCTTCGTAAAGGTGGGACACATGAGACCGTCTCGATGTACCGAAGACAAATCTTAAGCACTTATTCATGAGCAAATCTTATTCACGAGTCGCTTCAATCTATCCTCGAGTACCATCGGGATGCCTCCGTACACCACACAGCCTTAGTCAAAGTGGGGGAAAATGAGAGAGGATACAAGGAGCTTGTGGATGGGTTGTGGGAGTAGGTGGCGGGAGCGATGAAATAGCTTAAGGGTACCTATTGACTTACGGGAGATGAGGGCGATATGGGGTTTCCAGGAGAGGTTTTTGTCTATGGTGATTCCTAGGTTTTTAAAAGAGGAGCTGAATGTGATAGGATGATCCTTGATGACTAAAGGAGGAAGGAAGGAAATGGATTTAAGAGTAGAATTGGAACCTATAATAATGGCCTGAGTCGCGTTTAGATTTAAATTATTCAGACTTGCCCAGGCACTGATCCTATCTAGGTCTGCCTGAATAATGGCGAACGCGACTAGTAGCTCAGAAGGATGAAAGGAAAAATAGATTTGGGAGTCATCAGCGTATAAATGATGTGAACAGTGGTAGATGGATTTGGAAAGATCATTTATGTAGGAATTAAAAAGGAGAGGGGAAATGCTCGAACCTTGGGCTACTCCTGAGGACAGTGTAAGGAAGGAAGATAGGGGTTGGTTTGGAATTCTGACTGCTTGAGTTCTGTCGGATAGGAAAGACTGCAACCAGAGGATAGAGCTGTTGGAGAAGGATAGAGATTTTAATTTAGTGTAGAGTATAGAGTGGTCTAAGGAGTCAAAAGCTTTGGAAAAGTCGAGAAGTATTAACACAGTTAACATTTTGTGGTCCAATGCGGTATGTAAGTCATTGGTAATTTTTAGTAGGCCGGATTGTGTGGAGAAGCCAGGTCGAAAACCAGATTGGAGAGGATCAAGTAGTTTTGAGTTTTCAAGGAATTTAGAGATTTGGGATTGAGCTATTCTTTCCAGAGGTTTAGAAAGGTTAGAAAGAATGGAGATTGGGCGGTAGTCTTTAGGAGAAGCAGGATTGGGGATTTTGTTAATAGGTCTGACTAATGCTTTTTTCCAAGCAGCAGGAAAAACTGAGTTCTGGAGGGAAAAATTATAGATGAAAAGGAGAACTGGAACGACTTCGGGAAGGCATAATTTTAACAGTTTGACTGGTATTCCATCAAGTCCGATGGAGTCTGTGTGGGATTTCATTATAGAGGAAATAAGGTCGGTTGGTGAAATGTTGGAGAAATAGAAATTATCACTGTTAAATGAGGGTGATAAGGAAACTTGATAAGAGGTAGGTGAGCTGTTGCTGGTGGTGGAAAATATAAAGTAGGAATTTAGTTCATCAAGTGAAAACAGGTAGATCAGTGAGGAAGAGGATTTACAAAGAGAGAGTTTACGAAGGGTTAGCCATATTGATTTAGAATCAGGAGCAGAAGAAAAGGTTTCATTAAAGAAGTTTGATTTCGCTTTCCTGATCGTTGTTTGTGTCAAGTTACGGAGTACCCTATAGACTTGATAGTCATCTGCTAGTCGAGTTCGTCTGAAGCGTCTGCGGGCTGCCTCACGTCTCTTTTGCATGTCACGGATTTCTTGACACATCCAAGGAGCAGGTTGGCGACGGAAGGTTGAGGTTTTGATAGGAGCAGGAATAAATATTGTTCCAGTTTAGGGTTTCAAGGTCAGGCAAGATTTTATCACGGGTGAGGGTGTTTTATTATGAAGAAATATTTCTCCACCGCATAGCCGTGGAAGAAAAAACTTTTGTCAAGTCTGAGTAAAAGGTAAAGGAGTGAAAACTTTTCTGACTTTTTCTCTAATATTTTGAGAATGTATTTTCCAGATTTTAATTTCCAGGAAGTTCCATGGAGATGACACGCACTTTTTACAAAAATGAATGACAAGGTAAATAAGTGGTGGAGGCAAGAGCTGTTACAACAGTCGACAGCATTCAACCACTTTCAGGAACAAGTGTGATCGAAGTGATGATGAACCATGCCTAATCCATCTGGACAACTTGTAAACTAGAACCACAAAGACTATAATTTATCAAAATATTTGAAAAAAAAAATCCAACTAACATAAAACTGATGTGGATTGAGCAGCCTAATTATGTTATGTAAGAAACATTTGGATTCTGGGTAAATTCATTCATAAGAATTTTATAGAGCAGTGATCAGTACATAAAACTAATTAACTAAACTCAGATTTGAAAAATAGTCTGTAATAGATCCAATTATAATCATACCAAGGACAATGATGATCCATTCTTCGAATACAACGCTTACAGATTCGACAGTGATGAGCTCTCGGAGGTCTATATGTTTCACATCTAGTACAAACAGTCCAGTCTTCATGCTGAATTAATGTTGTATCTGATCCTAAAAAAAAAAAAAAAATAACAATTGACTAATAGAACACAAATCAGAAAAAAAAAATATTGAAAAGTATTTACCTGAATGAATGTCAGAAAAATCCATTCTACTTTGGGGCAAAGGTACAGCCCCTGGATCAGAACACATCGCACGTAAATGAGAAAAAGACACCAAAAATATCACCGTATTGAACAGTACAACATGAAACGGAGCCCATAAGCTGTTACAAGAGAGGTTTTATGTAACAATATTGGGTCAAAAGAAAAATATAAAATAGGTAAACAAAGGCAGAATACCTGTCCTGCATGGTTTGCATAATAACCCACCGAACCACCACATAATCAGCATAAAATACAGCAATGTAGGTTAGAAAAATGCACATTAAACCACATGGATCCCTAACAAACATAGACATTCTCGAACTACGACGACCAATTCTCCATACCCAGATAAGCTTTCACCTGACAGAAGTCACGGCCATAAAAACATTATCATCTTATTTACACTCATATCGATACATGGTTGTCCAAATGAAACGATGTACTATTATTCTTGTTGCAATGTTTCAAAAAATTGAAAAGTTAGAACATCTTTTTGATTTCAAGCAACTTGTTGAATCTAACGAATACTGAAAGTGAAAAATTATAATTATGATTTTTATTGTATATCGGTGGTATATAGTAATTTATCCTAAAAGAAAAGTTTGTCATTGTTCATTGGGTGCATCGCAGCTTGTCCGAAGAACTTTTTAACTTCAACTTCTAAGTGCTTCTTGCCTTTTTGTCTTATTTTTCTACTTCCCAAGGCAATCTATAAGTAACCAATTTCTTCACTTTCTTCAATATTGGAACGGTGTTATAAGGTAGCGTTGCTGTCAATATTTTTGATGAAGCTTTACAATAGTGCTCTTCAAAATTATATACCATAAAGAAATCCGCCCAAGGGATGAGTCTCTTATTTTATCTTTTTCGTATATCCATATTTGGTTTTAAATACTTTTCATTGGATGTTAGCCATTCATACAAAGCTTTTTTTTTTTTCTCTCTATCCTTTCTCGCCATTTAGGCTATACGCTTTTTCCCTTGGGTCAACGATGCTTGTGTGATGTCAACATGTCTGGTGAGAATAGCAGTGTCATCTGCATGTGTTAGGGTAAGTTGGTATATCATTTGTGTATATAATGTACAGTAAAGGTGCATCGATCCCTGCGGTACTCCGGCCCTTATAGCCCTGGAGCCAGTGCCCAAAAATCGACCTGATCGCAGGCGAATATTTGATTGTAAATTACGAAAGTGTACGTTATTCTGAGTAAAAAGAACCTTGTCTGCCGTTCCAGAGCCGCTGCTTTCAACAACGGCACCTGATTTAAAGAATATTAGGCCAACAATTTGAGGATCGAAACGGGAAATCCATTGCGAAAAATGTGAGAAAAGTTTCTATTTTTTTAACTTGTATATATGGGTTTAGACATGTAAAAAACAAAATTGCTAACGCAGGCCACCAAGGGAAAACTTTTTACAGCCAAAAAGTCAGTTTTTTCGATATTTTTGGGGTTTTTCATCTATAACTCTTAAACAATGCATCAAAGCGAAAAATATATTCTTTAATAAATTAAAGAGCGTTAAATTTTGCGTCAAACGAGTACATAAACTTTAAAATTTGGTTTCGCGGTGAGGTATAGAACCACGGTCAACCAACTCTGAGTTTTACCAAATCTGTCAAAAACTGGGACAAATTACTATAATTGGCCCTGTAACTTGGAAATGAGTTCCCTAATAGGAAAAACTCATAGAACCAAAGTTGTACAGCATCAAATTTCGCGTATACTGGGTACTGAAATTTTTATTGTTGGCCAATTATATATCTCGAATCGGTATTCGTTATTACTTTATAAAATCGGTATCTTTCGGCACATCGTTTACCAAAATCTTTTGCAGTTGAGAGGTGGAATAGAGGCTTATACTGCATGTAACAGACTTTAAACAAAACAAACTCAGTAGAATAGACACCCATACTGTTGAAATATTGAAAATCACGTTTACCTTCATTACCAATATCTAGCCATCGGGAGATTACCGATTTTGTTCACAGCAAATGACCTACATCAAATTAGTTGATACTGAGTATACGCGAAATTTGATGCTCTGCAACATTGATTCTATGGGTTTTTCCTCTTAGGGAACTTATTTCCAAGTTACAGGGCCAATTATAGTAATTTGTCCCAGTTTTTGACAGATTTGGTAAAACTCAGAGTTGGTTGACCGTGGTTCTATACCTCACCGCGAAACCAAATTTTAAAGTTTATGTACTCGTTTGACGCAAAATTTAACATTCTTTAATTTATTAAAGAACATATTTTTCGCTTTGATGCATTGTTTAAGAGTTATAGATGAAAAACCCAAAAAGTATCGAAAAAACTGACTTTTTGGCTGTAAAAAGTTTTCCCTTAGTGACCTGCGTTAGCAATTTTGTTTTTTACATGTCTAAACCCATAGAAACAAGTTAAAAAAATAGAAACTTTTCTCACATTTTTCGCAATGGATTTCCCGTTTCGATCCTCAAATTATTTGCCTAATATTCTTTAAATTAGCCGCCATTTTTGAAAGCAGCGGCTCCGGAACGGCAGACAAGGTTTTTTTTTACTAAGAATAACATACACTTTCGTAATTTACAATCAAACCTTCCCCTGCGATCAGGTCGATTTTTGGGCCCTGGCTCCAGGGCTATTACTGAATGTATGGAAGAAGTTTCGGATTCTTGTAGGACAGAGAAAAATCTGTTTGAAAGGAAGGAGAGAATAATGAGGTAATAGATAGATGAAGAAATGATTTAAGTTTGTAGAGCAGTCCATCGTGCCACACTATGTCGAATGCTTGAGCAACATCCAGAAATACCCCAGTAGCGCTTAATCTATCTTCTAGTGCAATTGAAATGTAGTTCGTGACTCTGTGAAGTTGGTATATGGTTAAATGTAGTGAACGGTATCCGAACTGGTGTTCAGGTAGACTTTGGTTCTCTGTTAAAATATTGAGTATGCGTCTGTAAAATAATTTTTCAAAACTATTTCAAGTAGTACTTCAGATGGAGTGAAAGCCGGAGGAGTTAATGTTAGTGGTAAGAATCTTGTATATAATTTTCAAGTTCATTGTCTGGGTAGTCTGTATGTGGTGTGAACACAGTTGATAGATGGTCAGCAAAGAGTTCAGCTTTTTCATTGTCAGACACGACTCAAGAACCATTCTCTTTTCGTAGTGGCGCAGACTCGTCGCAATGCTTTAGTAGCTTTTTAGTTTGTCTCCATAAGCTTCCTTCGTCAGTGCTGAGGTTATTTATAAAAGTATCATAGAGTTTGTTTGATTTTTTTTATTTGTCGTTTTAGTTCATTATTTATTCGGTTATATGTTTGTTTATCCGGTGGTAGTCTGTCAGTCTACCATACCTTTCGAGCTCTTCTCTTGGCTCTTTTCAAATCCCTTATACACTGTTTGTAGTTAGGCTGGTTATTTATTTGTTTGTGTTTCGAAATTAATGAGATCCGTGCAGATTCCTGGACGTTCTTTATCAATACTTTGACGGGTCCTTCCATTTTGTTTTCATTTTTTAGTGAGAGAGAAAATGAAAACCGCTGATTTAAGTTAGCTTGAAAACAATTACAATCTATGTTTCCTTAAATGAGTGATGGGCTTTCTTCCTGTTGACATGGTTCTTTAAAAAGGACCAAATATAGAAAGGAATGATCAAAGCATAGATCACAGATAGATTTAACTGTGAAAGGTATGACCTGTAGTCCGTTAGTAATGAAGAAGTCCAGTAGGTCAGGTGATTTTAGTCTCGATGTAGGCCAATAAGCTGGAGTATTTAGTGATATGATGTTTCAAATGGATTTTTCAGGTGGAAGAATGGAGAAAAGGAAAAACGTGGGATTGTGCACACAAACAAGTTTACACCTCATAAATAATAATGTTAAACAAAATTTTAATTAAATAGACCTATACTGCCAGCAGTGGAATATTGATATCTTCTTAATCATTTTCTCTTCTACCGCTGAGCGGTGTGAGGAGCCTTCTTGTAGGGCCGAATTCAAACTCTCGATCCTGAGCCAACTGCCGCCTCCTCCTTCAGTCAATATCCCTTCTGCCTAAGGCCTCCTGTATCAAGATTAATATCCCTTCTCCCAGGTCTTCCTGGGCCTTCCCTGAGGTCTTCTTCCCTCAACTTTGCTTTCCAACGCTATTCTGGCCATTCGATTCTCTGGCATTCGAGAGACATGACCAAACCATCTCAAACGATTTTCCTCCATCACCGTTTCGGCTGATCTTACGTTTAAATTTTTCCGTATTGTGGAGTTTCTTATGCGGTCTCTCTTTGTTTTTCCTTCGACCATGCGCAGGAATCGCGTCTCCATGGCCTGAATCTGACTGATGTGATTTGTGGTGAGGGTCCATGACTCGCTGGAGTAGGTCATGATTGGGAGGAAAGTATTTTTGTACACGGTCGTTTTGGTCTCTTTACTCACTTCTCTCTTGTTCAAGAATCCTTGCTTGATGGAGTTGAAGCACTTTCCTGCAGACTTGACTCTTTCCTTTATTTATCCGTCGATTCATCCATGTTCATTGATGTGGGCACCGAGGTATTTAAAAGTTTTCACTTGTTCCAATGGGACTCCACTCAAGTGCACTATTCTGTCTGCTCTTCCTTGTTTTCTGCCAATCCTCATTGTTTTGTTTTTACCACATTTATCTGCATATTTATTTTACTTAATTCTTCCTGGAGAATGCGGAGGCTGTATTGCAGGTCTCGTCCATTGCTTCCGAAAACCACTAAATCGTCTGCATAAGCGAACAGAGAGAAAAAATACAGGCTGTAGATTTCTGTATCCCATTTGATATGATCTCATATTTTGTTTTGCTATTGTTATTGCATTCTCGAGCACAAGTGTAAATAGCAGAGGACTTAGACTGCACCCTTGCCTAATACCTTGATTAGTTGTGAACTCTTCTGATATGTTATTGGATGTTCTCACAACATTTCTTTGGGTCTTATAGAGACTTAGAATTGCCTTACGGGGGCCTGTTTCGATGCCTTTGTCTTCCAAGGCATTTGCTATGTCTTGCTTCTTCACTCGGTCAGATGTCTTAGTGAGATCCACAAAACAGGCATATATCTCTTTATCCCTTTCTATTAATTTTTCAGAGATTTGTCTTAAGGTAAATATGAGATCCTGGGTACTTCTATTTGGTCTAAATCCGTATTGTTCTTCACTCAGGGAGGATTCCACTGTTCTTCGTAGGCGTTTCTCTAAAATCTTTGAGTATATTTTACTCGGGACACTAAGAAGAGATATCCCCCAGTAGTGTTTACATTCTCTGTTATCCCCTTTCTTAAATATTGGGACTATAACAGATACTTCCCAATCCTTTGGAATATTCTTTGTTTTCCACACAAAGTTTAGAATGTGCTGGAATACTTCT